GTTACCTATTTTCAAGTAAGACAAGTGTAAATGAAATGTTTCATAGATAATTTTCAGTTATCATCGAAGAACATAATAAGAAAAAGTCAACACGAACTATATTGTTGCACATAGAGTTATCTTTTCAAAATTAGTAATCAGTTTAAATGTTGAAATTTCTGCTCCGTATGGAAAACGCGTTATTGAGCACCAATTTCCTTGCAAAAATCAATATTCTATGTTTAAAAATTCGGAATTTTGCAACCATTGACTTTTAAATTAAACTTTTCGTCACATATTAGAAGTTTTGCCTACGAAGAACAATGTGAAATTTATGATAGAAGACTTGGGCCTTGTGGAAAAATCCTTTCGTTCTTTTTTTTCATTGAATTATTACTGAATCATATTTATGGGAGAAGAAAAATGACAAAAAAAAATAGAAGATAAAGTAATATTTAATCTATGCATAACGGGAAAAGATTTTCTTCGAAAGAAGAAAAAAAAAACTATTTTCAGCTAAGATGAAAACGATAGAAAAAATATCGAGTTATATTTGCTGCGAGGAGGAAGAGAGCGATTAATATTAAACTTCATTTGTATCATCAATAATATACATTTAGTGAATATATATAAAATATAAAGGAATTACGTATTGCACTTCTAATGATGATTTAAATGTTGAAATTATTTCAAATATTGATGAATGTGAAAATGAATTAGTATGTTTATCAACATATCATCAATTGGAATTCCTAAGACAACAATGATGATAATAATAAAGAAAAAGAAGAATATAATGAAAAGAAAACAATGATCGAACAAATAAAAAATAAGAACTAACGCTTGTGATATTTTGTTTCTTTGTATTTGAAACATAATCATAGTGAACTAACTAAAATGTAATAACGATATTTGATCCTTTTCACAGAGAAATTCATATTAGAAGACCTGGGGCTTTTAATTACATGTGGAGGAGGGATTAACTAATTAGTTCTGAAAATTTGTGTACAGGCACTTCACTAAGAATGAAGGTCATTGGCATTGCGATGTCGTTATTACTTAATTGCAAAACGAGTTATGATGGATGGCATCTATTTTTGTTGTCGGTCTCATAACCCTGGAAAGGAAGAGTATTCTGTGTCATTTGACTTCTCAATATGTAATGCTATGTTCCAACTATATACATTATTAATTTCATTGAAGTTCATCAATTGCCTCGAAGACTATGTACATTTCAGTGTCATAATTGTTGTGCAAAGAAACTATCTACTGTCATTTTTGATAAGTTTTTTCTATAGTTAGACATTGTTATCTACAAATTTCAGAAGTGAATCTAGCACTAACGAGAAATGAGACATAGATGATAATCTTGTTAGTCCCAAGGAACCAGAAATATCAATATTTGAGTAAATGAACTTATCTTTTAGCCGAGAAAAAACCCTAGACAACACTTCAGTTGTATGTAAAAATATCAAGGATCCATCGTAATTTTAATAATAAGCAGCGTAAAATTTTCTAGACAATCTTTTTCTGATTATAAGGCTCAGAGAAAAATACCAGGTGCCATGTACCATAACTCTCTTTGTAATTAAGCAATAATAGCGCTGCAATGACCATGACCTATATTGTTAGTGATATGTAGATACATAAATTTTTAGAACTTTACCACATACTCTGGTCGAGATTAGCTGAGGCAAAGATTTTTGTTTGCTACCTGCACATCAATATAGTAACATTCATAAAGTTCATTTTGATTTCTTCTTTATTTGCTTCCCTTCTTCAAACATTATTTTGATATTTAAATTTTGTAATTAAATTTCATTTATTCATAATATTACTTTAGTTCTAGTCAAATTTGACAAAAGAGAGAATTCTTATTCAACAAAAAAAAAAGGATTTCCATTACTATAAATATGTTCGATATTTGATAATTTAACATTTCTGACAATTTTCTCTTGATATGATGTCAAAAACTTCTTTATCATTAAGCTTCTATGAAAAAAAATTATTATACGTTTATATCAAAAGTTTTGATAATTGATATTTGTAGATCTATAAATATTGATTTTAGATAAAATGTTCTAACTCCCTCCCCCGCTGTTGACAAATAACTAAATAACTTGATATATATATATATATATATCTGCACTTAGGTCTTAGCTGTAAGTAAAATTGACTAATGCATATGTAATTTTGTCAATATCTGAAACAATCAATCATGATGAACTAAATTAGTTCCTGTGGGAATATAATCTTAAAGAAATAAATGATGAGTGATGGAACAAATAATTAATTTAAGAATAGTGTAGAATTCAATATTTTTACTATTTAACTTTTTGAATTAATTAATTGTAACATGTCATTTTGTATAATATAATAAAAGAGACATAACCATTAGTTAGTTGTTTTTTGACGATATACAAAATATTTTATTTCATTTTTTATCTGTAATATGACTGATGTTGGTTTGAAAATGATAAAGTTTTTTTTAATGACATTCAAGTCATATGTCAAATATATTACAAATTATTTTATTGGTTTGACATCAAGAAATAATATAAAACATTAATCAATTTATATGTAAGATCTTTTATAAATGTCATTTAATATGATTTATCTAATAAAAATAGGCTTGTATTTAATTGTTCAGTATTTTATTATGAATGTTCAGTAAATTTCTTATCACATGTTCAGTAGTTCTTGTTCAGTAAAAAATTACTTTTTTGCTCAGTAAATAATTCAAGAAGTTCAGTAAACAATTCAAAAAGTTCAGTATTTAATTTTAAAAGATTCAGTATTTAATTTTTTTTTGCTCAGTATTTAATGTATTTTTGCTCAGTTCTTTAATAATCTATTTCAGTAAAAAAAGTGTAATTACAATTAACAGAAATTTATTGAATCAATAACGCCTTTTTGGATTTTGTTGGTCTACCACGACATCTTTTTTCACCAATTTTAACGTTTTTAGCAGCAGGTGATAGTTTGCAGCAATTTAATTGAATTGTCATACCAAACAACATGTTCACACATAAACTTTTTGAAAAACGCTGGACAATTGCACACACTATCTAACCATTTTAATTTATCTACTGGCATAAAGCAATTGAAAGAAAGAACAGAAAAGAAAAAAAATATTTTGACTGGTGATCTCATCATCAGTCAATGAGAACGATAATTCTTCCATTTATACCAAAATATTTTCATCGAAAAAATAAAAGTAATTACTGATAAAAATACTATTCTTTACTGAGTAAATGAATTTTTAGATCAGCAAACTGAATTAATTACTGAAACTTTAATTTTAATACTGATCAATTTATTAATTTACTGAGCAAACAATTAGTTAACTGAACAAACGTAATATTTACTGAACATTAAATTTTATACTGATAGTTTGATTTCTTTACTGAAAATTTGTATATAATACTGAACAAATTTTACTGAACATTTACAAAAAAATACTGAACATTTAATTTGTCGCTATAAAAATATTTTAACAAACTCAAATTAATATGTCTCTTTTGCATGTTCTTACAAATCTTTATCCATCTATCATATGATTATCCTGCTTACTATCTGTAAATAATACATCACTAAGAAGTATATATCATGTCCTGTTTTCTGTCCGGTTAAATATTCAACAAGTTATTTCAATGTCTAAGACAATCGATTGATAAGTGAAGAATAGGAGAATTTCAATGGTTTATTGATTAAATTGAAAATCTTCAATTCTCATATATTTCCGAACAAAACTATCTAAGAGTGAACTCTGGTTATATCGAATCAGCAGGTTACTTTCACTCTCTAACTATACTAATAAGATCTATTGAGAAAAGTCCACCTCTTTGAAATTATTCATATCATTTTCTAAAGATTACTTTCTTCGTGATACTTCGAAAACATTGAACATCAATAATTATGAAATGTACTTCTATTTCTTTTTTCTCGTGATGTTTTTTTTTGCTATTTCTATATTTGCCAGTAGTTCTAAAAGCTTCTATGAACTACTTTCATCAACATATGCAAGAATGAGCAAATAGCTAAATTATACTTATGGTAATAGAAGTTTTCTCTTTTTGTCACTACAATGTTTTTTTTTCATTTACTTGATAAATCATGGTTGACGAAATGGAAAAATCTAACTTCTTTGTACAAAATTTTGTTCGTCAAGTCTTCTTTATAATTCTTTTATTTAAATATGCATAATCTATTTTTCAATGTACTGATCTGAATAATGATAACAAAATATGTCAAGTGTCCAATTTCTCGTTAAAATCATGTATGTCATGACAGTCCTCATTGACATGTCAATAGTAGAATACAAGTGTGATAAATATCGAAATGAGTACTTCTGTTTTTTTCTTTTGTATGACAGGCTTTGTTTGATGCTCGAAAAGTATTATTAAAAGAAAAAGAGAAATATGATTAAAAAAAAAGAAACGACAAATCTATTAAAACAAAATTGTTATTTGGAATTCCATATCTCTTTTTTCTTTTTTGTTTTTGATAATTTCATTATACAATCATGCTAATAATATTTAGTGCCGGTTAACGAATAAGATTTTGATCGTATTCGTCTTATCGATAGATTAAAGCAAAATTTTCAATCTATATTTGTACTTTTTTTGCTTTGTCATTATGTCAATGTTAAAAGACAGAACACGGCACTCTCTTTGATATCATTCGTGTTGCTATTTCTTTCGTCCATTATAAATGTTGTTTGAAACGCCTAAACGGAAGAGTGGTTCTATCGTTACCTTCAGCAATATTGTTTATTAAACTATCTCATATCTCTGCAATGTATGTATCTCATACCCAACGCAAGTTTATATGGGAGAGAGAAATAGAGAGATGAATATTAGAAAAAAAAAACGATAGGGGAAGAATAAGAAGGAAAGAATATAAAAAACAAGGAAATGAAGGTATTCACACAAGAGCGATATTGTGAGCAGTAAATTGTGAAACATTACAAAAAAAAGAACGATTATACAACAAATCTTTTTCTTGTTTCATGATAAACTATGGCATCTGATTTCAAAGCTCTCGTAAGTTAAAATAAAACATTTCTTCGATTTTTCAAGATAAGTCGATGTTATTTATAGGTTTCCATAGACAATATAACAAATGATACATTATCTTATTCAGAAAATTTTCGATATGCATTTGTTATTCATTATCTGAGTATTTATGCTCTTGTACTTATTATAGTTGGTACTGTTGGTAATCTCTTAACAATAAGTGTATTATTTAGACGTAATCTTCGTCGTTTTGTAACTGTCCGTTATTTAATAGCTGCTAGTATATGTGATATTATATCATTATATGGATGGAATTTAAATAGTTTTTATAAATTTAATATTAGCCGTTTTAATGGTAATATTGAAGATTTATCTCTTATTCATTGTCGACTTATTTCATTTATGACATTTGCTGCTTTACAATTGTCAAGTTGGTGTCTTACAGCTGTTAGTCTTGGTAATAAATAAATAAATAAAAACTACTTGTCATTTAAAAAATATAATTATTTTTTCTTTATTCATAGATCGTGCTCTTAGTCTTTTTTGGCTTCAATGGAAACAAACATTTGGTAGACTAAGATATACTAAATATTATATTATATTTCTAACTTTTATTTGTATTGCACTTAACAGTCATGTTTTATTTTTAAATGGCTACCGTAAACCATCTGGTACAATAGTATGTTACTCGACTCGTTCAAATCCTTCATATATTTACCCACAATGGGAACGTGTTCATTTAGTTCTCTATAATCTTTGTCCATTTACTATAATGTGTATTTGTAATACATATATTATTTGTGTTACTGTAAGATCAAGTCGATCACAAGTTGTTTTGGGACCATATAAAAATTATCGAAAAGGTCTCGAAAAATATCGACAATTTACTGCTTTACTTATTATTGTAACATTCGCTTTCGTCATATTGACTCTACCAGCTTGTATCTATTTTGTATTTTTCCGTCAAGTATTTGTATCAACAACGCAACGTAGTTATCGATTTATGATTCAAATATTATTAAATTCCATTCAATTTACATCACATGGAATCAATTTTTTTCTTTATTGTTTTTCGGCATCAAGTTTTCGTCATGAATTATGTGAAATGCTTCAAGAATTATTACATAATTGTCGTTGTATACGTTGTTGGTATTTTAAAACTAATAGAAAAAATTATCCTATGCGACGTTATGATAGAACTGATAAGAATGGATCACCTTTAGAACGTCAACGAATGAATCATAGTTGAAACAAGCAAATGAATTATTATAAATTTAATTTTCTTCTGAACTTCAGATCGACAACTGACAACAAAAAAGAACACAAACTGGATTTGTACAAACAAAAACCATGCAAAGACCAATTGTAGCAGAAAAAGCTTGATGAATATATTGAATAATTTGCGATTGTGATTGCTTTAAATATATTTTCGTTTTATTAACGTTTAATTAGTGTCTTTTTGTTAAATATAGAATGTCAATTCGATCTAATTGTATCATAGTCATTCTATTTAATGTGTAGTTTATTTTTGTTATCTAATTTTCTAAAATTATAAGTACTGACAAACTTGTAGTTCGGAGAATAAAGACAATTATTATGTATGAATGTTTATGCTTTCTTATCATAATCTGCTTGTATAGGTCTGCCTGATAGTATCTATAATTTTTCTTAGAACTGTTTATCTTCGATTATGAAGATGTCAAAAGAAGATTAATACCAACATGAAGAGAATAAATTACTATCTTATGTAAACTACCATGAACTTTCGGAATAAGCATACAGAAAGAAGTAAAGAAATCTTTGCTTCTGATTGTTTCCTAAGAAACTTAGAAACAAATTATTTGTTTTTAGTCTTTTAATTGATTTAGTAATTACAGATCAAAATAACCATTTCACCAGAGGCTGCCAGTTCCAAGAAATATCCAGAGCCGAAACCTAAACATCGGTTTCAATTAGTAAAAATGAAAAACAATACTTTCAATTTTGATTTCTAAAATGTACCTTTAGATCCAGTGACCTAATAATAATATACCAGATAGCTGATATAATAATTTTTTTGCTAGAAATTTCTAAGTTATATTTCATTTTTTTTTATATTGTTAATGGCTATTACTTTTTTTTGAACAAGCGATTTCTTCGAAAGATAAAACAACAAAGAGAAAGAATAAGAAAATCATGATTGTTAATCAGCTATATAGTCTTTACGTTGATAAAAAAAAAACATATTGAGCTTAAATTTTGAGCAAATATTGGGGATGCCTAGTTACATATAAAAAAGGAATTTCAACTTTATATCTTGTTCTTAGTGAGAACTAGAGCAACTTTAATAGATTCATTTTTTGTGTCTGTCACATCTTCAATTGCATTCAGCCGACTTGACGGAAACATTTTACTCTTTTTTCTTTATTTAAGAGAAGACACTGGAGTTTAGTAACTCTTTTTTTTTCTCCTTCTTTCACAGGTCCTAAAACATACGTTAAGCTAAAATAATCCTCGATAAAGCTGAGAAATTTTATGAGTAAAATCAAATTTTGATAAGATTTTTTTCTTTGGTTAAGGTAATTTTTTGATAAAATGAGCTATTAAACAAAAGAAATGTGAATTTATATCTTACTGTGATACAAGACCACCGGAAACGTGTCACCCAACAACTGCTGTAAGAAAAAACCAATTTTTTTTGGTAACAACGATTCTTTTTCAGACAAAAAAAAATCATCTTCTATGACAAAAACCTCGGTTTTTTCACAGAAACATGACTCAAAGTCATAATGATTATGAAAGTGTACATCAGTGTATCTAACCATGCCTTTTTTGTGTAAAAGTGATTTTTTTTTAACAGTGGTCGGTTTTTTTTTTCAGGAGCCTTAATCAAACTTCGAGCTATTTTTAATTTCTTCTTCCATCCAATTGTGAGACATACGCATAGTTTACCGCTGATGCAGTCGTAGATTGTTCACTCGGATTTCAGATTATATATCACATTTAAACAGCTTTTCAGATATCAGTAAAAGAAAAGTTCCAGTACCGAGTAAGAGAAACTGGAAAGCTCGGGCTCTAGTTTTCGCACAAGTTTATCACGAGCTTTTACAGATCGAAGATTATGACGTTTTTAATGTTTTATATATAAAATATGCGTGGTATTGCAAGATAATACCGATTCAAAGCAACTGTGTTTGTCCTATTTTTACTTGATTGTTTTAGTTAATTGAATGTCGTAATGGCATTATCAACTATAAAGTCATCTAGAAGATTTATCAGTAAGAAGATTAAAGAAAATATAGATTAACTTTTCACTTTTTAATCCTGCTTATATCTTCATCGTAAATGATAATTAATATCGGATTATATTAATGAGTGCCTACAATTTTGTTAAATACAAAAAATGTCAATCGCAAATTTGTCGAATTCGACAAATTTTATTAAAAAATGTCGATTATTGTATTGTCAAGCTTCCTTTCGATGAATTTCAAATTCAATTATAGTCACCTAAAATCTGACTTAAAATCAAGTTGAAATCAAGTTGAAATTAAGTTGAAATCAAGTTGCAATCAAGTTAAAGTCAACTTGAAATCAAGTTGAAGTCAATTTAAAATCAAGTTGAAATCAAGTTGACATCAAGTTGAAATTAACTTGAAATCATGTTGAAATCAAGTTAACCCTTTACCCCCATAGCGGCTTCACAAGAGCCACTGATAAAATAAATTTATAAATAGAGTATTAGCCTGTCGAATATGCCAATGGTGTGGCCTAATTCACCGAATGTCTTGTTTCTGGAGTAGGACGGTTTGATTGATGTAAAAATCATGTGGTAGAAAATGGAAATTGAACGGCATCATAAGACTTTATTATTTTTTTCTTTGACCATATTATTGACTGGACAGAAGCAGCATCTATCTCATACTGTTGAAGTGATAGGAAAAAACGCAACGAATGAACCGATAAAAATTAACATCAAAGATTGCATGCTTTTTTTACACCTATTGTCACATTTAAGCCTATTTTACTCTGAGCCATATTCTAATATCTGAAAGAATTTGATTCATCATAAATACTATTTTGACTTCTCATGAGTTGAGATTTATAACGCATATATTAACTTTGTTCTTGATTACTCTCCATCTGTCTAACAATGACTACATGATCGATTATGTTCTTTAGTATGTATAATTCGCGGAGTTATCATGAAACTTTCGAAACACATCTAATTCAGTAGTGGACTTCTTCATCGATTAATATCACACAAAAATTTCAAAAGGTCTCTATCGACTGCAAGTAGAGAACATTTTGTTTAAAAAATTTCGAATTTTTGCATTTTTTCAAAATTATCGATTTTGTAAGTCATATATCTCGAAGGCAGAACAATGAAACAAAATATTTTTTTATCAATCGATAGCTCGTGAAATTCTTTACAAATAATGTCTTGGGAGTTTTTCAGTCTCATGCTTCCTTTATCTTCTGTGATCGTTCTACAAATGGGTCATATATGACCCATTGGGGAGAAAACAGTTAATTTCAAGTTGATTCCAACTTGATTTCAGCATAATTTCAACTTGATTTTAAGTCAGATTTTAGGTGATTATAATTGAATTTGAGATTCATCGCAAGGAAGCTTGACAATACAATAATCCATATTTTTTAATAGAATTTGTGATCGACATTTTTTTGTATTCGACAAAATTGATGTTTTCCATATTAACGTTTTCTTTTTGTTTCCTATGGATGACATTGAAATCGAATAAACAGTTGTTGGTCAATTATTGAAATACTTGGTGAATGGATGTTATACTTTCGATCACTAACTCCATCTGCATAAGATCTTGAGTTCATTGATTCTTATCAGTGGAATCGATAAACTAAACAAGAAATTTAATTGGTTCCTAATCAATTGTAAAATACCAAATCCAATAGACGTGGACAGATTTTCTTTCTTTGTTGGCATGTTATGTATATCAATTGTGCCATCATAATTTTTCTTGTTATTTTTTAATTATTATTATTTTAGAACATCCCATTTGTTTATTTACACTTTCTCTCTCACTAAAGCATGGTAATAATAATTTAATCGAATTGTTTTTTAATTCGAATAAATAACTTTATTTATTTAGCCATTGCGTCTTGATGTCAAGCGCAAATTATCAGTTCGATCAGATCGTGTCAAATGTGTTGATATTCATCCGAATGAACCATGGATTTTAGCAACATTATTTAATGGTCATGTTCATATTTATAATTATGAAACTCAAGTATATTTTTTTATTTATATTTTTATGATTACCAAATCTTCTTCTTCTTCTTATTCATAGCAATTAATTAAAACTTTCGAAGTATGTGATGTTCCAGTTCGTGCTGGTAAATTTGTTGTTCGAAAAAATTGGGCAATTACTGCATCTGTAAGACTTATTTTTGTTTTTTCTGTAAAAATTATTATTAATTTCTAACTTGATTTTTCTTTCTAGGATGATATGTTTGTACGTATTTATAATTATAATACTCTTGAACGTTTACATCAATTTGAAGCACATAATGATTATATACGTTCAATTATTATTCATCCAACACAATCATATATATTAACTAGTAGTGGTATGTATTGTTATTATTTTTAATATTTTAATCATTCGAAATATATATATATATATATTTCATTAGATGATATGACAATTAAATTATGGGATTGGGATGCTAAATGGGCATTAAAACAAACATTTGAAGGACATATACATTATGTTATGCAAATAGCTATTAATCCAAAAGATAATAATACATTTGCATCAGCATCACTTGATCGTACTGTTAAGGTAAAATAATTATAATTAATAATTATTTTATTTATTTGATATGCAAATTTTAGATATGGCAATTAGGATCAAATCAAGCGAATTTTACTCTTGAAGGACATGATAAAGGTGTTAATTGTGTTGATTATTATTCAGGTGGTGATAAACCTTATCTTGTTTCTGGTGCTGATGATCGTCGTGTAAAAATTTGGGATTATCAAGTAATTTTTTCAATTTGAAAAGAATTATTGAGTCTTTTTTTTCTTATGTAGAATAAAACATGTGTACAAACATTAGAAGGACATTCACAAAATATTGCTTGTGTTGCATTTCATCCTGAATTACCTATTATATTAAGTGGATCAGAAGACGGTACTGTAAAGTTATGGCATTCAAATACATATCGTCTTGAATCAACACTTAATTATGGTCTTGAAAGATGTTGGACGATAGCATGTTTAAAAGGATCAAATAATGTTGCGCTTGGTTATGATGAAGGAACAATGATGATTAAAGTATTTTATTTTTGGATTTAATAAATAAATTTAAAAAAAAAGAGAGAAATTTGATTGATTTTTTTTAGTTAGGTCGAGAAGAACCAGCTATGTCAATGGATGCTTCAACTGGTAAAATAGTTTGGGCTAAACATTGTGAAATTCAACAAGTTAATTTAAAACAATTAAGTAGTGATCAACAATTAAGAGATGGAGAAAAAGTACCATTAAATATTAAAGACTTAGGCAGTTGTGAAATATATCCACAAACATTATCTCATTCACCAAATGGAAGGTAAAAAGTGAATTTTATAGTTTTTATTTTTTGATCATCTTTGATTTTATTTTCTTTAGATTTGTTGTTGTTTGTGGTGATGGAGAATATATAATTTATACGGCAATAACATTACGTAATAAAAGTTATGGAAATGCTATGGAATTTGTTTGGTCAGAAGATTCATCAGAATATGCTGTACGAGATGGAAATATGATTAAAGTTTTTAAAAATTTTAAAGAAAAAAAAACATTTAAACCAGATGCTGGAGCTGAAGGTATGATTGTATAGTCAAAGTTTTGACAGATATCGAAAGTCTAGTGATGCTTATAAATAAGAGATTTGTTTCAACAGAAATTTAACTGTCTTCTTTACTATTATTTTATACTAGCGAGGAAACATTCCCAAGTGATCCGCTCCATTTTCATTCATTCATACTACATTCGATAGAGTGTATTGAGATAAGAAAAAGCCTAAAAGGATTCGTGTCCGTGGCCTACTGTCGAAGAATTATGACCATTTTACTGTGATCTAGGCATTTTGGAAAAATCCAAAATGAAGTGTTTCGAGCTGAAATTTTACCTATAGATAGATTTTATAGTCATTAGATAGTCCTGAAACTTTCAACGAAAACGAACATGTTTTTCTCGAGTTATTCAATTTTCAAAGAGACAGCTGTTTTCCATAGGAGGGCACAATAATTCAGTTTAGTTGGACATTGAATATCTCAAAAAAGACATGTTGATTTTCGTTGAAAATTTCAGGAGTATCTAATGGCGATAAAATCTATCTATAGGTAAAATTTCAGCTCGAAACTCTCCATTTTCGGTTTTTCCGAAATGCCTAGCGCACAGTAAAAGGGCCATAATTCTTCATCAGTAGGCTTAGGGCACGAATCTTTTTAGGCTTTTTCTTATCTCAATATACTCTATCGAATGAGATATGAATAAATGAAAATGAAGCGAATCACTTGGAAATATTCTCTCGTCAGTAATAAAGAATCGATAAAGGACATTTTAAAATTTCCCTCGGAGAATCGATTGTTTTTTACAAATAATTTCTGCAGGTTATTGAGTTTTTAGTATTTATATCTATAATAATAAGTAAGTTCAGTATGGACAATAGTTTGTTTCCGTCGTCATAGTAACGTGTCAGTTTCAAGTTAGAAAAATCTTGAAAACCAACTAGTAGTAAACAATAGTCTACTTAGAAATGCATTTCTTTATTGAAAACATATTGTAGATTCACTCCAATGCTTGTTTGCAACATAATCTGAAAAAATTCTTTAGGTTCTCTGTACAAAAAAGCGTTTCCATGGTTATTGGATCTAATTGACGCAGTGCACACGTGCATCAGTCACGTATGAAGAGATCTTTCGAAAATAGGAACATATTCGGTAAAATTCCGTTGTGTATTAATTAAAAGATTTCTTCGCCTTTGCACTTTCTTCTAGAAATTCAGAAATGTTTTTATCACAAAATAGTGCATTCCTAATTGCAGACATTATATCTTTAGATATACACGTCGTGGTTTGTCCTATGAAGTATTCATTCTAAGCCTGAGATCGTATTCCTTTTCACACAAATCACTGAATATGTACTCAATTATTATTTTTCTGTAAACTGTTTCTTCGCAGACAACCATACTCATTGAAATTAGCTTGAGACTCAACTATGCTAGTAGTATATTTTACTATCAATAAATTCCATCTAAACTATTCACATCTCAACATAAGCAATTGACTTAAATAAGTGAGATGATAAAAAAGATAATTTTCTTTTTTCTTTTAGTTGGTTAGCTGATGAGAGGATTAAATATTGCCAGTGACACATCTTATCCTTTAAAACAAACGCGTGCTATTTTAGATATCGTACTAAGATGTTAGTAGTGTCACACCTGTAAGATGAATTCAAGTATTGAGGACCTTTTCAGGTATTCAACTATTCGAATAATTGACGTAAAAATATTCAACTATTTTGTCACATGTGTCCGTCCTTTCCCGGTATCACCCAAATCAAGCGTGATGTGTTCAGGTTAAGGTGCCGTTGAATTAATTTGAATAGTTGAATTCAACTTTCAGGTTTAATATGTATGTGGAAAATAGAACAGAAAAGTAATGAGCATACTTTGTAAAGCAAACATTCCCGCACAAAACTAGGCCAATAAAAAGTATTTCGAACCTTTTGAAACAATCTGATGATAGATGTTCAATCTTATCTCAGCAGGAAATTCTGAATACATATTCGAAAAGAACGAAAAATTCTGATACTAACTAACCGCTTCTGACTCTAACTAGTTGCCTTTTAATGGCTGAAAAATGAGTGAATATTTTGTACTAAGACTTTCAAAAACTCAATTATTCCTTCGAATAAGTTCAGATACATTCTCAAATTCAATCTTATCATGAATGACTTTTGTATATTGTTCGATTCAACGTAAGACAGTCTCTGATATATTATAAAATTTGATAGAAACTTGCAAAGATAGCACAACGATTCATCAATATTAGCATTGATCTTATTTACAAAAATCAAAGCAATAATTCTATTAAATACACAATTAAAATAGCAAATAATTGAATATTAAGTTTTTCTTGATAGGTATTTTTGGTGGTAATCTTTTGGGTGTTCGATCATATTCAGGTTTAACATTTTATGATTGGGAAACATTAAGTTTAATTCGTCGGATTGAAATTTTACCAAAACTTGTATGTTTAATTTCTTTTCATTACTAGACATATTTCTCTAATATCTATAACAGATCTATTGGAGTCAAAATAGTGAATTAGTTTGTATTGCAACAGAAGAATCTTATTATATTCTTCGTTATAATCCACAAACAGTAGCTGCTGCATCCACAAATAAGGATCTTAAGTCTGAAGATGGTATTGAAGATGCATTCAATGTAAATTTCACAAGATTTTTTCTCTTTTTTTTTCTTTTATTGAAGAAAATATCATTTTCTAGGCTCTAAGTGAAATTTCTGAAATTGTAAAAACAGGTGTATGGGTTGGTGATTGTTTTATTTATACAAATTCTCTCAATAGAATAAATTATTATGTTGGTGGTGAAATTGTAACAATTTCACATTTGGATAGGTAATTTAAAAAAAAAACACCTACAATTTTAACATTGTTTCATTAATTTTTATTAATTTTATTTAGAGTTATGTATTTATTAGGTTATGTATCGAATGAAAATCGTTTATATTTTGGTGATAAAGATATGTCTATTGTATCATTTGAATTATCTTTATCAGTTCTTGAATATCAAACAGCTGTTATGCGAAAAGATTTTGAAACAGCTGATCAAGTTCTTCCAACAATTTCAAAAGAACAACGAACACGTGTTGCACATTTTCTTGAAAAACAAGTTCGTAAATTTCGTTTTCTCATTTAATTTATACCAAATTTCGTTACATTGTAGGGTTATCGTCAACAAGCATTAGCAGTTACACTTGATGATGAACATAAATTTGATTTAGCTCTTCAATTAGGAAATTTACAAGTTTGTTATGAAATTGCCATAAAATTAGAGAATGATCAAAAATGGTTACAATTATCTGATGTTGCTACAAAACAAGGAGAATTTTCTTTAGTAGAAGAATGTTTAACACATGCACAAGCATTTGGTTCACTTATTCTTTTAGCAAGTGCATCAAGTAATAAACAATTAATGTCAAATATTGGTGAACAATCAAGAAAAATTGGACAATTTAATATTGCTTTTTTATCAAATTTTGTCTTGGGAAAATTAGATCAATGTTTAGATATTCTTATTGAAAATCAACGTTTACCAGAAGCAGCATTTTTTGCTCGAACATATCTTCCATCACAAATAAATCATGTTGTTGGATTATGGAGAGAAAAATTAAAACAAATGAATATGGAACGTGCAGCACATGCATTAGCTAATCCAACAGATTATGAAAATCTTTTTCCTGGTCTTATTGATACATATAAAACAGAAGAATTTTTAAAACAAAATACAAAAGTACAATCAGCTAGAAATTATCAAACACTTCCCGTATGAAGATTTATATTTGTTTGAAAAGATTTTATTTGAAGTTTTTTTTTCTTAGCCGAATTGGGAGAGCAATCCTATTACTGAAATGAAACAAGCAGAAGATCACGGGCAGTTTTCTTATATTTCAAAGCAATTAAATAAAGAAATAACAAATGATAATGATGACGATGATGATGATGATGATGATGAAATTTTTGATGATGTAAATGAAACACCAATACAATCAACAACTAAGGTTTAAAATGAATATTGATTTTCATTGAATGATCCTTCTTTGTTTTTTTTTCTTTCTAGACAACAACAAATTCATTAATAGGTAATAAATTAATTACATCTGTCAATGCCGATCAATCTTGTTCACGATCTCCAACAAATAGTTCTGCTGTTTCATTTCATAAACCAACAACAATATCATCTATCATTAGAGATCTATCAGTGAAATCTACAGCATCGAGTATTATATCTACAGCTACCACAGTTGGTAGTGCTAGTCAAGCATCTTTAAGCGATTTTGATAAAGAATTACAAGAATTTGATTTCGACCTTGGTAAAGATGATATAGACGATACTGAAAATGATCCATTAGTATCGAAACAACTTTTTAAACAAACCGTTGATGAGAATGAGGTAAAAAAAATATAAAAGTCTTGAAATATTGCATGTCAATTAGCAATGCATGTATATATATTCTTTATATTTCATATTTGGGGAATGCACTAACACAATAATAATACTATATAAGTTGTATCTAATTAATCTATTTACAATATTTAGGATCTTCGATTCGATGATGACAATGTAGATGAATTTCTCCACAAGACATGAAAAATATTGTGATATATATAAGTATTGAATTGTCTATGGTATTTCATTCATTCATTCAGACGTATCAATAACTGTCTTTTTCTTTTTATAGAATGTCATTAATTCTCTTGTTTTTTTTTAATCATTACATATGTATGTTATTTGGTTATTTCTTTTTTCTCTTAACTCATTTGATCTCACACAACCAAAGTATATTTATGGATCAATTCTCTTTAATTCGTTTTTTTTTGTTCTCATTTTTTTTTATTGTGGAGACATGCGCCTAATTTAAGTTCTTTTTTTTTGGTCTGTCCATTCAATCTTGTTACGATGAAAAAAATTCAGTGTTTGTCTGTATGCATTGACAATTTTATTCAAGATAATAATTCTTTTATATATATTACATGTTATTTGGCAAAAAACAAAACAAAAATACATGATAAAAAGTTTAATTTCAATGAAATAATAATTGATTTTTAAGAATTTATTAATCATTTTTAGTTTTCATTATCATGTTTGTTATCTCAACATATAACATCAATACTAAACTTGAGCAGCTGCTCATCCAATTATTTTTTGTGAACCATTTTATTTAATAACCGTTTCCAATATATCTCTAAACATAAACAATCGAGCAAATATTTAACATTCTAAAATTCTGTTATACCGCAAATGCTTTCTATTATCAAATTATATATACATATATATCATTGATGATAATGAAGCTGCATGTACTATTTCTTAGTACATATTATCTAAATAATCGAGATAAATGATGGATCAAACTTGTAATTCATAAAGAACACTGATAATTTATTACAGCAAACGATAAGACTTAACTCTTTTTGAAATTTACTTTTGATCTAATATTCAAACGTCGATTTTTTTTCTCATTCTAATTGTAAAAGAAGCAAGCAATTAGAAATTAGAAATATGATTGTTACTGCCGATGTATAGCTTACTACACTAATTCTCTAGTCGACATTAAAGAAAAGGCACTTAATGAAAAGTGATTTTACACTAATCTGAAATTGAAGATTCAATAGAATTTAATCAATTTATATCAGATAAGTAATATCTCTCTCTGCCTGGCTTCGTAGCGTCACTCTATGAGAATATATGTCTTTAGAGATCTGATGAATCCTGCAATAACACTGCATATTGTGGGCTGTTCTTTCTTCTACATACTATTTGTTTGAACTAAATAAAACATATCTTCAAATTGTGAAAAACAATGGCATAACAAAGTTTCTTTTGAAGAAACGAAAAAAAAAATAATTCGTGTTCTATTTATTTTCGAACTGTTTTACACATACAAGTTCGCATTATTATAAACAAAATCAAACTAAATAAAGATTTAAAAGAAACTTTTTTTTTGCTTTTTAAAATATACACTATTTGTCTTTACGTAATAATTATAGTATTTGACACACGTCCAATGTGTGTAACTAATGATGTCCAAGTCTAGAAAGATGTTAGTGCAATTGAAGTGGGACTAAAATGTGAAACATGATACAGCTGCTGTCATTCTACAAGAGTGAATTCATCAACATTTATTTCAGCTTATGAAGAACTACCCACTGTTAATGTGTGTTGATAATGAAAGATGTTAATCGTAATATATTACAGTAAATGCAAAAGAAGAGTAAAGGACGGTAAAAATGCTCATGATCGAAAATTAGAAATCCTCGTAAAGCCTGGATGAAAGTCTTTTTCTAAGTTTTTATCAATAGAGTATAACACATCACATGTGCACACAGAACAATAGTGAAGGTGCAGACGAAACTTGTGACCAAAAAAGGACTTCGATTTTCGACTTTTTCACTTTCGATATTTAATCCCTAAACCATAGGAAATAACCATAAGGAGGAACCGGCCATAATAAGGTAACTGTCCAAGTGCATGGTAGAGGAGAAACATTACTTGTGTGTCCTCGAAGTTTGCAATAAAAAGATAGGCAAGCAGGAAGAGTGGGGCATTAGCCAGATGTCGTTCACGCTCTGCTATTTGTCATTGCCTAAGGTTTATGTCACGTCTGTAGGGATAGGACACAGAAGACAGCTAGGCGATAAAAATTTCTCCTTGAGCTCTAATTTTCTCAGCAGCATGATGCGAAACAAAGTTGAATAGTATTTCATGTGATCGGGCATTAAACGCTCTACAAAATGAGGAGTTACTTTTGATTTAAATAGCTTTTCTTGAAAAATTTTATTACAAAAAACACTGAAAATTATTTTGTCGCTGAGCTTCTGCTGTTTGTTCGCTGAGGATGAACGTAGTTTGAATTTCTACCCTCTATACTTTAATACTCCTTTTAGAACGTGTTTCACACAAAAAGATCAGCAATCTTCTGCGAAAACCTTCAAAAAGCAAAAAACAGAATTAATTACATTACAACTCTTTCATGACGTCAACGAAAATGCATATTAACTGGTTCGAAATTTTTGATATTCTGCAAAGTTGATAAAAATTTCAACATACGAAAGAGCGTCAAAAACTGCAAGAGGTCTAAATTTTCTTGGATACATATGACTAGTGCACCAGCAACAGTCAATAAAAAAGATTTTCTCGAGAAAACAACAAGAATCTATCAGTCTCACTATCTTTGTCTTTGAACGATATTTTGTTTTCGTTCTTTTGTCTTCTGCATTCTAATTCACAAGCATGTGTACAGAGATAATTAAATGTTTTATTATATCGAAATTTTAATTTTCCAGTACATGGTACAAAAATTTTTTTATATAAAATAAGATTAATTTAGATAGAATGGTGATCTCTTATATTGTTATTTCTCCTTAACATTCTCTTTTTTTTTCTCACACCATAAAATCTTTTTGTACTTGTGCAAAAGCTAAAGGTGCTTTGATTTTTAATAATTGTCGCATACGTGGTTGAGCTATTTGCATATGTTCTAATGTTAATTTAATATCTATACCAAGAAATTCAATTGTATCATGAAGAATTTGTACACATTTAGTTAATTTCTTTGCAAGTTCAAAAAGTATTGTATATTCTTCATGTAAAATATGTTCAAAATCATCTTTTGTTAAAAATTGTGGATAAGAATTATCTATTGAATTTAATAATTTTTCAAGTTCAAAATCTTTTTCTAATTCACTTAAACCATATACATATTTATTTATATTTGATTGTTCGTTTGGAAATGGTAAAATAAATAAATCACTTGGATTATTTGAATTTCTTTCTAATAAATGTCTTTTTTTATTAAAACAACATAGTTTAAACCAGTATATTTGATTTAATGCCGAAATTTTTTCATTTATTGCTTGTGCATGTACTTTAGTTAATTTTAGATCAGCAATACATTCATCGATTTCACGTTGTTGTTCAATAAGATATTGAATTGATTGTATACACATTAGTTTTGTTTGATATAATTTTTTTAAACATTCATTACATCGAATTTGTTCTTCATCTGTTAGATTCATCTTTAAAAAAATAACTTCGTTTAGTTATACGCGCTTATTTGGATTTTTTAACGCTAGTATTTATTACTTATGTTCAACAATTTATTGATAAAACATTCAACGATGAGATTTTAGTCGTATAACAGATGTATGTAATAAGTATCAATTTGATAAAAACTTTTTCGCTCATTAGTTTTCATATGAGTAACGTTAATTAGATTAAACTGTTTGATGAATTATAATAGTTATGTTTTTAAAATCTTTATCGAACATTTGTCTGTTCCTATCAACAGTTAAACATATCTAAACAACAAGATTTTTCATAAAAAGAAAGTAGATTTCCGTTATTTTGAAGTCATTTTTAATGAAATGTTCACTTGATATAGCTATGTCATTTAACTTCAAAAAATATATTCATAGTATCAAGCTATCAATATAATAGATAAGCTTGACAAATCATATTTATCACCAATAAAAAATGAATATAAAAAAGAGAATTTTACGTATTTATTTTTTATGTAAAGTTTATCCAATTTAAAAAGTCAAGACGAGGCGTATATAATACTATATGAGATGCTCATGGTACCATACGTGATGTACTCTATCCTGATACGTGTTCATATGTATTAATTACTCTGGGAATGCCTTTTCGTGTACAAGCATTAATAATTCTACCAGCTAAAATAAGACTTATTAATAAGATAATAAATAACCCACATGAAATTGCTAAACAGACAATTGATAAATTCTTGTCAATACGCACAAAGCTTGGTATTGAATCTTCTTCATTTGTTTCATAAATACTTTTCCAGCCTACAATTATTGTTGAATATGTTGCTATTAAAAATATTAACAAACATATTGAAAATAGTGAACAAATAAAAAATGTTAAAATAGATGAATAGTTTTGTCTTTGACTACTGATGATACCCACTATGCCTGTTGTAAAAAATATAAAACTAAATAATAATGTAGCTGTTGACCATGGCCACACCCAACGATTCTCTAGTTTAGGATTTATAATATTTCCATTGAAACCAACTATTGTATCAGAAAATATTGAATATTGAAATGCTTCATTGGAATCATTTCGTCCACGATTATTTGAACCTGAATAAAGACGTCCAAGTTCTGTTGATAATAAAGCCGTAGTAAATAAAAGTACTAAACAACTAAGTATAATACCAGGTACACGAAAGAAAGGATAGTTTTGATTGTTATATGTCATCATGATTTTGCCGACTCGATGTTGTGTATATGGCAATGGATGGAAGTGTTATGTTTTATGACAAGTGGAGAAGGTTGGGAGACGAACACACTTGTGGTGTACATAAATGCAAAGAAAAATGATCAAGTCTGTAAAGCAGAAGATAATTAGTTTGTTTCAAATGCATAAGAAAACGAAGAAATAAAAAAAATAAAAAACACAAGTAGGCACGTTTTTCACTTGATTGTTACTCACTGACTCCTGTGATTCTTTTTTTAATAAGAAAACGTGATCGATTTTGTTGTGAAAAAACAAATAAGTATCAAGGACAAAAACAAGAACGAAAGAATATAAATGCAAAGATAGAAATTGATAGATTGGTTGATGAAGAGAACATAGTAATACTCAATCAAGCATGACCAATGTTCTACCATTCACAGACAGAATCATGAATAAAATACACAAAAGTTTACAGTTAAAGTAAAAGCATTACTATCTAATGAAGACTTGAATTTACTGATTGAAATCAGGGTGTGGGTGTACGGCGGATATAAGTGAAGACAAGAGACTCGGTTACATCAACAGCCTCAACCACACCTACACTCTTAAAAAGCCCTAGACGATAGCTTTTACATACTCAGAGCGCTAGGGAAGTCAAGTTAGAGACGTTAAAAATTTTCCCTAACGCAAGTCAGATCAACTCAGGTCAGACTTGATTTGACTTACAAGGGAACCTATCCAGCTGTCGGAACAATTTTGAGTCGGGACTTAGCGCATGTTGTAGATCTCGGTGACTTATGTTTAACGTAAAAAGAGTTCGTGCCCATGGCTTGCTCCTGGCGAGATATTGAGTTTTTAATTCATATTCCCTATAGGATCCTACATTTTCGACATAACCTTATTTTCGAGTTTTTGACCTGAAACTTTGCCCACATAAAGCGCTCAACTAGACTAGTTTACAAAAAAAATTGCAGAACTTTTCGACGAAATCTCTTCGAAATATGATGACTCTAACATATAGATTCTTTTCCATTGATAGCATGTATACAGCATGGATTTTTGGTAGTCGTCATATTTCGAAGAGACTTCATCGAAAAGTTCTGAAATTTTTTTTGTAAACTAGTCTACCTGAGGGCTTTATGTGGGCAAAGTTTCAGGTCAAAAACTCGAAAATAAGGTTATGCCGAAAATGCAGAGTCCTATAGGGAATATGCATTAAAAACTCAATATCTCGCCAGGAGCAAGCCATGGGCACGAACTCTTTTTACGCTAAACATAAGTCACCGAGATCTACAAGATGCGCTAAGTCCCGACTCAAAATCGTTCCGACAGTTGGATAGGTTCCCTCGTTAGTCGGTCGCCGGTGCATACAAAACGAATGCTAGATGAATTTACTGTAACTATTTACTTATCTGTTGTTTGAAGAAGATACATTTCATTATTGTGTTATTGTTAGAAATCGATTTTTTGATTGACTGCCATAAACGATTATATGTGAAATAAATTGATATGTAGTGCTAAACAACAAATATACTTGATAATAACCCTTAAACAAGATCTATATGCATCACATAATTGCATACTTCTTATGTAACCTCACTTTCTTATTGAAGTAAGCGCTGTTTTTATCAGATTTACGTACTTATATTCAGTCATTTTACTCGTTCTTTAGTGTCGAGGTAAGGAAAGCTCAAATAGTACATTTTATACTTTGTTATGTAATTAAAGGAAAACAAGAAAATTAAATTTCTTATAGTTTTTGGTCACGACGCTGCAACTGGATGATGAGTTTTCAAGATTATTTTAATGTCAATTTAAAACGTCAACTGTTCAATCGAATGGAAGCAAGTAATGAGTAGAGACGTAAGCCATCCAGCTGAGCCGCGGCCGCCGCCACTAAATCATAAATGATTCGAAAAATTTCTCAGCCGCCGCCGTGAAAAAATCGAAATCAGCCGCTGCGCCGCTGGCATGAAAATAAATTTTTATAACACAAGCCGCCGCCGCTGACATCTATACATATGCGATCAAAAATTTTTACGCTATTTTTGCCAGTTGACTTTATGGGTGGATGGGTATGTGGGTGTGGTGTGGATATTGACCTTAGACAAACCAACATCCACACACCCTACCTGTGTGGGTGGACTCAGAGAACACCCACACCCACACTTTTCTGGAAAATGTTGGGAAAGTACAAATGATTTATGATAAACATAATTTATTAAAAAAAAACGTAACATTTAATTTTTTTTTGTAGTTTTTTGTTTCGTATTTTTTATAATCTTATGCTTGAAAGAGTGTATATTTTGTATAGTTGCTCCTGGTATCACTAATTATGTATTTTTCATTGTGTCGTAGTGTAAACTACGTTTAAACTATCCCCCTGTAATAGAAGACTTAGGCTCTTCTATTATGTTCCAGCGTAAAGATTTTGTAGGAGGGGGCCTTGCATTATGCCCCATATTTTTTTCAATTTCTAAGTAAAAAGGTATTCCAGCAAAATGGAGGCAATTTTTAGGAATCCCATCAGAATTTTTTAGAGTCTAGACACAATTGTGAACTTATTCTCTTAAGTTTTCTGCTGAAAATTTTGAAAACTGGGCATATTTTGACGAAAATACATTTTTTCAAGTTTCTAATTTGCAACAAATCAATTAATCAAAGAGGGGGTCTTCTATTACGATCGGTGAACTGTTTCTTCATGGGGTCTTCTATTGTAGGGGAGGGTTTACTTCATGTATCCTATGTTAAAACAGTAATAAGCAAGTATTGAAATAACTAGAAATATCTTACTCTCAACAGAATATCTCAATTTTAAACTTAGCTGCCGCCGCCGCCGCCATGTGGAAAAATTTGGTGGATTATAGCTGCCGCCGCTGGTCGAAAATTGAGAACTATTGCTCGCCGCCGCCGATCAACTACTCAGCTTACACCTCTAATAATGAGGTCCCACTAACATTTGTATTCAATGGAAAACACAAGAGACAGTTTCAATAATTTAGTGTTGAACATGATCTTTCGTGACAAGTTCTCGAATGCCAGAAGCAACGATCTCTGTCTTGTTTTTTTTCTGCACTGAAGTGTTACCTTGTTTGCTATTGTATCTATTTGTCTTAGTTGCGTGAAAGAGTGATCTTACTTTTGTGAAGGAGCAAATTTTTTCCCAGTGCAGAATCACGGGAAAAAAATCGTTCTTTGTTCGAGTTTACTTATGCCTGCATTGTTGTCGTGAATGTTTTTTCGGGAACAGGTATGTCGATTTTTAATCTCAATCATGACTACATAGCATGAAGGTCTTGATTACAAAAAAACAAATTTCGCACAAATTATGACTAAAACAACAGAAAACCGGAAAATAACTTTAAAAACATGAAATAAAAAAGTGAAGATAGGATTCATTCACTGACGAGAAAAAAAATTGCTTCTTTTTGTACTCGGACAGACAGCGATGCCGATTTCAAAATTTGACATCACTGTCTGCTTGGGCACACTCTTGAATATTTTGTTTTCACAGAAATGTCTCTGTTCATCTTACATCCATCCGTATATTTTTCAAACCAACTTTCCAATCGTTTACTACGTGTCTCCATTCCAGAAACGTAGAAGTGAATAAACGATTGTTCAGATTTTACTGTTGACATGATATGAATAAAGATATTTCTACTCATAATTTTCCGTTGAGATATCGTGATCGATCTCAATCGGAGGATATAATGGATTGAAATAATCGATTATATCATCTCGTTTAATCAAACGAGCCAACTTCACAGGTATCATGGTCATATTTGATTGCTTTCCGTGTGGAACCAATTGAGCTTCATAGATCAGATATTCGACCAGAGCGGGATCGCCATATTGTAGGGCGAGATGAACCAGATTATCACCGCTGCTTGTCTCTGATATTTCATTATTAAAATACGGAAGAAGACGACGGGTTGCTGTAAGATTGTTGTTACAAATGGCAAGTTGTAACGGTGTGAGATTGTCACGATCTGGTTTGTCGAATTTTTCGTTAATTTGAATTGATTTTCTAAGTAGATACTCGATAAGACAATCGAGTGTTTTATCACAATCGAGATTGAAAGTGAGTAAATGAAAGAGATTGTGATTTCGATTATCTACATCATCGAGAATCTTGTCGATATGTTTACTATCGAGAAATGCTCTAAGCACATTCATTCTATTGAGACGAGCCGCAAATAGAAGAGCAGTCTCACCACTGTCATTACGTCGTTGAATAGCCTTGATACTTGCGACTGGAATGAACTTTTTGACAATATCATCATGACCCTTGATGATCGCCATTTGTAGGAGATTTGTCGTATGTTTTTCGATTATCAATCGACAAGTGCGTAGAAGTGCTGTCAGATTATTCTCAATAAAAAGTGACGCCAAATCAGCGGAAAGTTTCTCTAAAAATTGCTCGTCACTATCCGCCGAAAGTTTTCTTCTCTTGAAAATATTTTGTGACTGAGAAAGAGCTGAAATTAAAGCAAAATAAAATAATTTTAAAAAAAACTTCATCTTTTTTAGAGAATTTTCTTACCGTCATTTGTATTGTCTGATGCCAAATCGATCTGAAAGAGAATGAAATAAGTTCACCTGAATTTGAAGAGAACGAAAGATGTAAATACTGCTCACCGGTTCCAATTTTGAGTGGCAATATTCAGTTGTGTTGTGAGAAACGGGAATCATACTATTGGTCTGAATAGGCTCAACTATGTTTGACGCTGTGCGTTTGTTTAGATTGTTGTTTACAACAGGCGGTGAAGTTTGCTTCATAATCGTTTGCTGACAAGTTGAGCATTTCCCTAAGAACAACAAAACAGAAGGTAGTTGTATTCGCTTGAAATTTCAGATTTACTACCGATTGGTAAGTAGATGTATGTTAATGAGTCTAGTACTCGTTCATCTTGTGACAGAAGAATTTCAACCCGAAAAGGTTCAGTGATAGAAAAAGGGCATGGAGGTGATGTGAATGAGATCAGACGATCAATTACTTCCACATTGCGAGCGGGTTCCTT